GTTCATGAACTCACTGTCTGTCCTGTCACAGACATGGAGGCCGCTCACGAACTCCCAGTCTGTCCTGCCACGGCCAAGGAGGCTGTTCATGAACTCACTGTCTGTCCTGTCACAGACATGGAGGCCGCTCACGAACTCCCAGTCTGTCCTGCCACGGCCAAGGAGGCCGTTCATGAACTCACAGTCAAGTGGTCTGTCCATGTCTCTGCTCCGCCATGGCTTCCTGCTCTGCCTGCTCCACCATGGCTCCCTGCTCTGCCTGCACCGCCATGGATGCCTGTTCTATCTGCTCCACCATGGTTCCCCGCTCTGCCCGAACCGCCATGGCCGCCCGATCTGCCCGCTCCTCCATGGCCACCCGTTCTGCCTGCTCTGCCATGGCCGCCCGTTCTGCCTGCTCCGCCATGGCCCCCCGCTCTGCCTGCTCCGCCATGGCTCCTTGCTCTACCTGTTCTGCTTCATGGGCCTGGCCCTCCATCCCTCCCCCAGTTCCGCCTCCACTCCACCACCCTCCTTGACTTGTTGGGTTTTGTTTGCATTTGTTTGGGCGTCTGGAGCCGCCGTTAGAGGGGGGGATATGTAATGTGGGGTTTGGGTTTTGTTTTTGTTTCATGTTCATGTTTTCCATGTCTTTTATTTTGTAATTGTTTTATGCTGTTAGTGTCATGCTTCCCTTGCCCTCTTGTCTTCATGCCATTGGTTCCTCTGTTCATTGTGTCATGTTCTGATTGGTTGTCTTAGTCATGTGTCTTGTTTCCCATAGGTTTGTTCTTGTCCTGTGACCCTCTTGTCTGCTATAAGTAGCCCTCATGTTGCCATTGTCTTTCGTCGTGTATTAAAGTTGTAACCCGCTGTCGGTGAGTCTAGTCTGTTTGTGCCTTGTCAAATCTGTTCATGTCAAGTCTGTTCATGCCTCGTCAAGTCTGTGTATCTTGTTTGGATTATGTTTGGATTTTGGATTTCACCTTGTCTGTAAATAAACTGCACTTGGGTTCTTCACTACGCTCGCCTTCAGTGGATTGAATCATTACAGTAGCGTCAAATGCCAGACTATAAAAATGAGTTTTTAAGCTAAATTTAAAAACAAGTGTTTGAGCCTGTCTAATGTAGAGGGGCAAAATATTCCAGAGCTTCGGGGCCGCCACTGCAAATGCTCGGTCACCCCTGCTCTTCAACTTTACCCATGGGATGACTAAAAGCAAATGGTCAGCAGACCTAAGTGCTCTTAGCGGAGCATACAGCTTAATCAAGTCGGACAGATATTTAGGTGCTAAACCATTAAGAGATTTAAAAACAAATATCAACATCTTAAACTGAATCCTAAAATGGACAGGTAACCAGTGAAGAGAGGCAAGAGCGGGGGGTGATGTTTTCCCGCTTTCATGTACCCGTCAGCAGTCGAGCTGCCGCATTCTGGACCATCTGCAGTCTGGAGAGAGAGGCCTGACTAATACCTGTATAGAGGCCATTACAATAATCCAGACGAGTTGAAATAAAAATATGGACGATTCTTTGAAAGTCTTTAGCAGACAGGAAAGATTTCACCTTGGTGAGTTGTCTCAATTGGAAGAAACAGGATTTAACTACCGAGTTAATCTGTTTGTCCAATTTAAAATCACAGTCTATGATAACACCTACATTTTTACCATGGGGCTTCACAAATGGTTTCAATTCACCAAGGTCCAAATCTGATAACTCACAAGTACCTCCCGGCGTAAACAGTATAACTTTTATTTTCGTTAAAATTAAGGAAATTTAGTGCCATCCAGGCTTTAATTTCCTCAAGACACTATAATAGGAGTGCTAAAGAGCAAGTTATAATCACATCTTATACAATAAAAATAAAAATGTGTTTATAAACCTTTTTGTGATAAATGTTTCTATATGTAGTTCAACTACACACCCACTTTCTTATATTTCTAATAATTTTTTAACATTTTCCTCAAGGTTATTTAACTCAAGATTAAAAAAAGATGAAGTTTAAAATAAGGAATAAAGCACATTGTGTTATATATAAACAGTCTCAGTTGTGAGATATAACGTTACATTGAGAGAAATAAAGTTGCAATTACAATGAAAACTTGCAACTGTGAGATATAAATGGGAGATGTAAACTCATAATTATGTCACAGCTGTCCATGACCAAGCAAAGGAAAAAGTCATGACTTTACTGTAGTAAAGTTACTTAACCATGCAATGATTTATACATACTATAATATTTTATGTTTTTTTACAGTGAAGAATTTAAAAAGGCATAATGACTGAAGATTCCTCTGCTGACTTGGATTTCTTTGGAGCTTTGCAGAGACTGAGAGAACATGACCCAAATGCAGCTGTTGCAAAGGCTAAAGAGCAATTGGACAGTCTTGACAGTGTGACTCTGAGTATTGCAGCAACTGGGGAAACAGGAGCAGGAAAGTCTGCCTTCATTAATGCATTTCGAGGTCTGAATGATGATGATGACCATTCTGCACCAACAGGAATAACCGAAACAACAAAGCTAGCTACCATGTACACCCATCTCACAAAGTCAAATGTCAGACTGTGGGACCTGCCAGGGACTGGGATGCCTAATTTCAAGGCTAACAAATTCCTTAAGAAAGTGAAATTTGAAACGTATGATTTATTTATCATCATTTCCTCAGAGAGGTTCAAGGAAAATGATGTCTTTCTGGCCAAAGAGATTCAAAAAAAGCAGAAGAGGTTTTATTTTGGCCGGACCAAGATTGATAATGACATTCGGTCAGTGGCGAAGACAAGACATTTTGATGAGCAGCAGGTACTTTGCACAATTAGAGAGGACTGCCACAGAAACGTGAAGGAGCTAGGAAACCCCAAGGTGTTCCTGATATCCTCTTATGATTTGGGAAAATATGACTTCCATGACCTGGTAGACACCCTAGAGTCAGACCTTTCAGAATACAAGAGATTTGCTCTGGTCCAGTCTTTACCTGTGTGCTCTCTGGCTATGCTAGAGAAGAAAAAAGAGGTTATGGAGAAGTTTATTTGGCTTGCAGCACTGGGCTCAAGCCTGGGTGCCGTTATCCCATTCCCTTAATTATCTCTGGCCATTGACAAGATGGTTTTGTTGACCTATCTCGTAAGTTGTCATAACGCTTTGGGTTTGAATGAGCAATCACTCATCAAACTGTCAGTGAGAATGAACAAGCCTCTCTCAAGGCTGAAATCACCTATAAAGTCAACTTTAGCATTAGCAGTGGTCTGTGTTGGGCAAGATACTTCCAAAATGTAATACATTACTAGTTACTGTCTTTTGTTATTTTTAGTTAAACTTATTTTTGTTGCTTGTCTGCACTTGTCCTCCGCCTTTTTTTTCTTCTCCAACCCCGCAGCTCTCTCCGATAACTCGTGCTATTTCTCCATGCTGAGAGTTTGATGTCGCACATATTGCACCTGACTATGCATTCTTATCCTTTTCTCCAATAAACTGAAAATAACAGGAGTATGTCCATCTCACAAAAAATATATATTATGATTGTCAGCCATTAGCATCACTTTTTTCATGGTGCTACCTTATGCTTACACAAATTTAGGATATATTGGCATTTAAACTGTTGAATTGTTAGAGGTATTTCTTAGAAAGCAGATGGGTGTGTGAATACATGAGGAAAGAAAAAAGCCCAAACTTTTCTTTACAGGTTTATTTTTGGACCTTTTATCAGCTTTATGACACATTTGCACTTTATGAAGGGTTTTATACGGGAATTTTGTGAGGTGTGACTAAGCTGTTTAGTTGGGTGTCAAAGTAATAGATTAGTCAATTTCTTATTACTGATTTTGTGTGTGTGTGTGTGTGTGTGTTGTTACCCCTAACAACAAGACACATATAGGCGTTGACCTGGAAAGTACACATAAAGAGCAAACTACTAACAAATTAACATAGTTTCACTGAAATTATTTCTATGATTTTCAGGTCCACTAAAAAATCTAAATATTGTGTTATAGAACAACTTACCTACAGTCCATTACACATTTTTATGGTTTGCACAACAAAAGTGGAAGCATGGTGTATTTTTCATAAACATTTTAATAAACAAGAAATAGTCCCAACTTAGAAAACTGCAGTTATTACAAACATATATTACAACAGTATATTGAGATCAACAGTTCACAAATTTTTACTGCAGACCAAATTCTACAAATAATTGTCTGTTTTCCAACGGTGTATCTTCTATTCTTTTGCAATAATTAGGACAAAGCAATCTTAGCAAAACGTGGTGCCTCTCTAGCATTTTCTTCATATATTTCATAGAGATCTGTCACAGGAAGAAAAATACAGAATTATACAGCATATTAAACAATTAAAGATTATTAGTTAATTCTATTAATATATTATATTGCACTCCAGTTGAAAACAGCAGTTATACTATAATAAGCTTGAATAATTCATGGTAAATTAAACAGAAATCAAGTAATTAACTTACATTTCTATGTTTTTTTATATATATGTTTCTTTACTGTTCTTGCTATATAATATGCAAAAGCACTTGTCCTGACAGTGTTGAGGTCACTGGAGAGTGCACTTTCCAAACCTACAAAGTCAAATGTGCATCTGTCAAGACTGTTGATGAGAAACATCTGTTGTTCAGACAGTTTTGCCGTCTGAAGCTCCTGGGTATATTGTGCCCGAAGCCCATCAAGTATCTCAGTCTCATCACAGCACAAGTCACTTTGAGTCTGTAGATGACAGTCAATTTTGGTCTGGACCAAGAGGTAATGCTTCCTTAATTTTTCAACCGCTTTGGCTAGTTTTAAATGCCGTGCTTTCTGCCAGTCTGATACAATGATGATATAGAAGTCATAACAATTCAGGTGTTGTTTCATCTCATACATCGAGTAATCCATGACTGCCTCTATGCCGGATATGTCCCAGAACCGGACATCTGGGTATCTCAGACTCATTGCGGGGTTGCTGATGGACACTGAAGCCGCACTACACTCTTCATTTTTCAGCCCAATTAAGGCATTTACCAAAGTGGATGCTCCAGAGCCTGTCTCACCCAAAACGGCCACATCTAGCTGAAAGTGACTCAAAGCCTTCAGAACAGCACTGACTTTCACAGCTCCAAAGCCTGTGCGCTTATACATATCCTGCAATGCTGTGATGTCCTCTGTTTCAAGTTTCCCAGTCTGTTGGATGTGATTCGTAGCATACCTAAAGTAATACAAAAATAAAAATTACATTAATGTTAGGATGAATGATATTTGAAATATTCATTGTTTCCCCTCTTTATTATTACTATTTTCTTCAGAAATATATTCAGTATATCAGTCATACATGCAATGAACTCATCTATGATGACAATGTTCTTAATTTCTGAATTAAAATTAAATGTGATTTTTGATTTGGGGTATTACATAAAAAATGTTAGGGTGATAAAATGTCTAAAAGTATTTGAAAAACTTTTATCTGCCAAATCAAAATGATATGGTCCAACCATGCTGAAACAGAACAGGACATTATATTATAGGGAGGACCCCAGCAGACCGTTGTGACAATATGTCAAGGTCAGTAAGTCAATAAAATATCAAAATAGTTACTTTTTTGTATATTATAGGACTACATTTTACAGGAAAATACTATACTATTCTACTTCAAACTTTCACATCATTTAATGTTTTCCTAAAAGTGGTATAAAAGTTTTTAAGCACCGTATGAAACCAACATAGTCACAGTACCATTTACAACCATGTAATTACAGTATATCTACTCACCTTGCCTTTATCCATCCTCCATGTAACATCTTGTCCAGAAAATCTGAAAACACCTCTGCTTTAAGTTGAGAAACCTCATCCTTAAAAGTGTCCATGAGCTTCTGCATCTCATACTTTTCTGTGTCATGGGATGACACTAGGAACACATGGGGGTCCAGTTTCTTCTCCTTCAGATATTTCTTACAGTCTTGTCTCATTTGATCCAATGCACGTATTTGAGAGAATTTGCTTTTCTTTCTACGCACATCATTATCAATTTTTGTTCTAATGAAATAAAATGGCTTCTTTCGTTGCTCAATTTCATCAATCAACAGCATGTTGTTTTCTCTGACTCTCTCTGATATCACAACCATGAACATGTCATATAGGTCAAAGTTCATTGTCTTTACATAACTCTTGGATGCAAAGGAAGGGGTGCCCATCCCTGGAAGATCCCACAGTCTGATGTGTGGGAGATTTGGATGCTGATACATGGTTGCTTGCTGTGTGGTTTCCACAGCTCCAGTTGGAGCAGCCCCTGTGTCATCAGGATTCAATCCCAGGATTGCATTGATAAGAGAAGATTTTCCTGCACCAGACTCTCCAGTCACAGCGATATCTATCTTAAAATGGTCAAAAACCTTCAAAAGAGACATAAGCCGGTGGGGAATTTCTTCAGGGCTTTCAGAGGCAAACACGCCCTTGATTTTGTTGAAATGATCCTCTTGTATTTTTGCTGGCATGTACAATCTATAGAAAAATATAACATTCTGTCAATATTTTATGCTGTAACATTTTTAAAGAACATTATTCCATCATCCCACATTTTAAGGCGTCGTGTCAAGTTATAAGACGTTTAAGCACAAAACGCGTTCAATTGTAAACGGCCCAGGTTAATTATCTTGACACGAGCGCAACTTCACTGAATTGTGATAGGAACTGTGCACTTGTTAACTAGACGGTCTTATAAGTGAAACGTAAGAAAATAACATCGCATACATAAATATTTAAAAGCTGACGAAGATAGACAAATAAAGCCATTCACCCATTGTCCATGGCGCTTGCCGTTTATGTTGGTTTCTATTTCCACGAAATCCAAGGAAATCGAAAGTAACCTATGCGATGTGCGCAAAACACATTAACAAAATTAAAGCACTGTCATAATCAGGCTTTGTTTAAAGATTGCTTTTAAAAACTGCCAACCTTACGAACACGACCCCGTTTCTTCACGCCAAATAACAAACGTAAACACCTGCGATTTCATATAAAGTAACAGCAGGAGGGAGGAGGGAATGACGTTCTGACAGCTCATTTGAAGACGTGCATGGGCCAGTCTACAGAATTGGTCCAAAGTAAGAGTTGGAAACGTCCAAAAAAAATTGATGCATGCAAATTGTATAATATCCCATGTAGGCCTACACATTTCTAGTAATTGCGCAGTTAATTCTCATATTGTATTTTCAGAAAGTTTTGGAATATTTGTCCTCTCCCCAAACTTGTTATATGTTAGGCTATAATAAAACAAAGTGTGATAATACTATATTATATTTTAAAATAAAAAGGCAGTATTAAATACAAATGCGATTAATTTATAGTCAACTTAAAAATAAAATGCTAATATTTAACCTACTTCTTTTTTAAATATGAATTTTCCTAATTTTCAAACTTAAAGGGGTCCTATAATGCTCTTTTACAAAGTCTTGATTTTGTTTTGGGGTGTACTAGAACAGGCTCTCATACTAGGTCGTTAGAAAAACATAATTTTTCACATATTTTACATTATTACAACACCTCTCTCCCCAGTCTGGCTTGAACTTCTCAATAGTTCCTGTATCAAATGAAGGCCCGCCTTCTGAAATACGAAATGTGCTGTGATTGGTTAGCTGGGCCAGTGTGTGCTGTGATTGGCAGCACTCGGGCGCCTGGTCGGGAAATGTCACGCCCCTTACCACAGCCTTCAGTGTAAATACTGCATCAAAATCAAATCAATTTGAGCGCGATTTAAACCCGGATGATTGTAACCACTCTAAGTTTGTCTGCCTAGGGAAAGCTAGCGCGTCTCCGACATAGTGATATAACACTCATTGCCTTCTCTAGTGCAGCTCAACCAGGTCTCATCCCATTCGTCGATATTTGTGATATCACAAATCCCGGAAAATATGCGTTGTAGTCCAAACGAGTCGTTCGTTGTAGTTTTTGAAAAGTGATTTCTGTTAAATAAAATATCTCCTTTTGAAGTGGACTTTGAACTTTGTAACTTTGCAGATTTTTTATGCTCAAACAGCAACATTACAGACTAACTAAAGTCAGTGACTGTTACTGACATCCGTATTTATAACAAACTTGAATGTACCTCTATGATACAAAGTGAGTATGCAAAAGAACCAATCCCATGACTATCAATTCTTAAGGGGAAATTACTTCTTCATACATGTATTATTTATATTTCTCATTTACAGCCAGCCTTGGAAAAACATTGCTTTATTGGACAGATCTCTGAAAGTGAAAGACTTTCTAGGCAGTAAAAATAATAAATATCAATACATGTTTGTTTACATTCTTTTACTAAATATGAAACTGTGAATTTGCAAACTATGTTGCTGTTATATACTGTAGTGTGAAACTTTGGGGTTTTGGTGTGAACTGAAAATATTTCCACACTTTCACCTTATTTAGAAAAAGTTAAACAACCTACATCTTGTGATATAAAAGAAATAAGCTGTTTGTTTTATTTAAACATTTTTTATTCATTGTGGTCTGTCAAAACACAGTGCTTGTTCTCCAAAAATTTAGTAGGCATGAGGTAGAGTTTAAAATGTATTAAAAAGGTGTGAGCAGTAAGATGCTTGTTTTCTCCTGTCAATGCAAAGGTCAATGGAGCTAATATTCCTACATGCATGTGTGTTCTGAATCTGGTGACTATTGAGTCCTTTGAATCATTTTGGTTGTCCAGTGTTGCAGATATCAAAAGATTGCTTTGTCTTGCCAATATACTTTACAGTCTGAAGTCTGAGGGGATTTTCCTTGTCAGGATGAAGTGTTTCCTTCCATCTCCCCGTGAATGTGATTTCCTGAAGGAGACGCTGAATCTGCCACACCTCTGTCGTCCTCTTCTTCTTCATTGCCCCTTCTTTTCTCTTTCCTCTTCCTTTTTACATTTTCTGAAGGCCCTTCCCAGGACACCCCACCTACACAGACAGGAAATTATGTTTCATCAGATGTGTCATTTCAAATCCTGCCACCAGATGTCAGTACAACAGCAGAAGAAGTCATGTTTGATTGCCTCAAGTGTTCAACAGAACGTGTCACAAGTATTCTAAAGATAATTATTGAAAGAAATATCACAGTTATGATAAGCATACAAGACGTGAATGAAAGTTAATTATGATACCCACTGTTTCTGACATATGGCAAAGAGGAGGGACGGAAGTCTTCCAAAAGTTCCTCACTTCTGAATCCAATTAAGACGCAGTAAAAGGATAACAGAAACAGACATTATTTTGCAAACTTATTATTTTAATTTAATAACTTATTAATGCATCAAACATTTGACTATAACTACAGTAACTCCAAAATGTATTTGGACACTTAAGGCATTCTTAAAATGTGAGAAATGTAACTGCATTAGATGAAAACTATCAAACAAAGTGGCATCTGAAAGCAACTAGCATGGTAGCTAGCTTTTCTGAACCATTTATGCAATGAATTTTAACCACTTAAATGTCAAGGTTATTTTTAGTGGATGCATGATGTCAGTTACCATCAAGATCACACAGGTGTCCTAGCAGAGGCTCTAATGCAAATGTATTCATGCATTATTGCCAAATACTCATAAGGAGAATCTTACCCATGTGTGCTATGTTGTAAAAAATAATGCTTACTCAGGACATTTTTTACCTATCTGAGGAAGTTTGTCTTAGCATGTTTTCTGACCAGGAACCATGTTTGACTTTCTGCGGAGAGAGAATGATAACTGATTCTCATGATTACAGTTACACTAAATTTACTTACTAACCACTGACTATGCACTTAACAAAAGTAACATTATTCATTTCATAATTAAGTTACCAACCACAACGTGATTTCAAAAACAACACAGATAAATAGACAGGCAGACAGATGAATCTTGACTGGCTGACCTGTGTGCCTATGCTCAAGGATCTGGAGGGCGGTTTGGGAGATGGACACGGGGAAAGTGACTGTCTTTTGGGAGGAAGGGGAGGAAGTGATAGACTGGAACGGGGAACTTGATACTCCTCCTGTGATATCTGAAATAGTGAGAGAGGAATTAAATTAAACAACCATTAAAGTCAGAGTGAACTGAAGAATTGCACAGACTCAAACCTACAATTACATTCACACTTGCTGTATGATGACAATACAAAAAAGCTAGAGAATACAAAAAAGGCTAGTTTCAGTTTTTTTTCAAAACAGCAGACAATTATGCTTAATAAATCAAGAAAGTCACAAATTGCGATTATGAATACAATACAATTGATCATACAGCCCTAACAATTGGTCAATAGTAAAATTGTTTAAATGAATAAAACAAAATATAACTTTGTTTAAATGAATACATGAATAAAAAAATACAATTTTAAAAAATAAAAATTTTAAATAAAAAAATAAAATGTTATCACAACATTTACATTAACAGTATGAAAAATGGATATTCATTTTGAGATTTACTAAACATTACATTTAACAGTGTTTTTATAGATGGACTTTAAGTGAGCTTTAGATGGCAACAAAGGTAATCTAAATGTTAAAACTGGAAATGAGCAGTCACAATAAAATATCTATAAACAAATGTATAAATCTCTAATATTGGCTGATATTGAACAGATTATGCAATCACCTATAATCTAGCCATTACACTGCTGAATCATTTTATAAATTGGATACCTGTTTGTTGGTTTAATGTAAATGTATTTTGTTTGAAAGGACAGTGTGAGGTCTAGAGGTCTTGGCATTTTGTGTAAATGTGGTTGATTATATAAAAATACAAGCAATGGAAATTAATATTTGAGAACTCTAAACACACAAAAGTAAACATATAAGAGTAAAATCTAATTAAATAGATTAAATAGAAAAAAAAGTGCATTTCAGATTGCCAAGCAAAGAATTCCTGATTCCCATATTACATACTCTCACCTTTTTCATACAAGCCAGTTTTTTCATCACCAGCTCCACATCCTCATGATCTTCCTCCTCATCTTCATCTTCCTCCTCTTCCTCCTCCCCCCCTGCCCTCCTGTCCCTCTCTGGCAGGTAGGGCTCAATGAGGATGGATTCTGTGCCTCTGATGTCACAGCGGCAGTAGGGGCACGTGTGCCCATCTGATTTCTGCACATCAGAGGGAGTGACACAACTTTCAACACGCAAATTCACATACTTATTTAATGCTCCCAAGGGCATCCTTCTCCTGCACATTACACCACAAGAAAGACTTGCTTATCTCTTGACATCTTATGAGAGATGCACTTGTCTTTGAATGTGTTACATTGTAAGATGTAGAGCTGCCGAAATGCATCACGTCCTCTCATTCTCTATAGGGTAAATTTTATCTTAGCATGCAATGAAGTGTGACTTAAGAGAAGTGGAAAATCAGTCACACTGCACACATATGCTTGATCAAACACAGGCAGGAAGCTTGAGCCAAAATGTCAGGTCATGTTGCATGACACTGTGGCAAACATTATATTTCATGCGGAACAGCTTTCTGAATGACTTTGCTTTACGCACGCATTTAATTATCTGTTTATGTTAGTGATTTATTTCCAGTAAAATAATTGTATTCTAATGAGTTCTATTTATGATGTTTATGCACCAACAATGGAAAACATAATCATGTAGCCTAATCATGTATAGCTGTTCTGAATGTGGGTTTTTGGGTGTACCTTGACCATGATTGATTGTGAGTGTGAATGCAAGTGTGAATGGAGGTAGAGGTCTGAGCACAATAAGAAAATTATATACCTGCCAGCCAGTCAAGCAGGGCTGACACAGCAGATGCCCGCAGGGTTGAATGCGAGTGTCTTTGTCTCGTTCTGTGCAGATTTTGCAGAGCTGAAATGTGCTGCCAATCTCACAGTATAATTCATACTGCTCCTGAAGAGAGAAATTCAACACATAAAGGAGAGAGAGGAAAAAAGCGCATCTTGCATTACAGACAAAAAAATGCTCAAAAAAGAGTATATTTCAAGCTCTAATTTATCAGCTTTTAAGACACACCTGCAAAAAAGAGGAACACATATAGGATAGTGTAATGTGTACATGAACAATG